ATGGCTAAAAGGACAACAAGTAAACTAATGCAGAATTTGAAATTTTTTTCAGTGAAACAAAAGCAAGATCACAGAGAACAAATAAAATCAATTCTATCCTGTCTAAAAGAAACGCATTTTGAATATGAATGTACAAATAAGTTAACACTAAAGGGATAAAAAAGATATACCAGTTGGGCATGTGATCCATGTCTATAATCCCAGCAGTCAGCAGGCAGAGGCAGGAGGATTATGAGTTTGAGGCCAGCCTGGACTACATACTGAGTTCAAGGAATGATCAGATTATAACACCTCAGTTCTTGCAGACATTAAAAAGTTAATAAAAGAATATAGTGAAAACATTTTATGCCAATAAATTTACAACTTAAATGAGATGGAAAATTCCCTTAAAATTTTGTAGCATACTCAAATTTCACACAAAATAAGATCGTAAATGTCAATATGCTTAGCATCTAAAAATTTATCAGACATTGAATTTTGTCATACATTTATAAAAAAATAACACCAATCCTCTTCAAATTCATCCACAATATGTGAAGAAGGAAAAGATTCTTACTTGTTTTCTGAGTCTAAGATAAAAGCCTGACAAAAGAAATTACAGATCAACATTATTGACAACAACTTACCCAAACATTAACAAAATACTAGCAAACTGAGTCCAGGAGTATATAAACAAGATTACACCCTCACTGAGTTGAGTTTATCCCAAGGATGCAAAGTTATATTAACATTAGAAAATTGACTGACATAGTAACTATTTTAACAAAATGAAGAGAAAAACTATTTATAATAAATGTAGAAATATCATTTGATAAATTCAATACCAATTCATATTAAAGTTTGTCAGTTCTTTAGGAATAGAAGTGAATGTCCTTAATCTGAAAAAAGAGCACCCATGAAAAGTTGACAGCTAACCTCATACTTCTTGGTGAAAGAACAAATATTTTCCCTCTAAGATTGGGAACAAAGTGAGCATCACCATTCTCATCACATTAATTCAACACTTGACTGATTAGCCTTGTAAATAAGTAAGTGAAAGAAGGAAGTACACATTGAACAAGGGAGGAATTAAAACTCTATTCTAAGTAGAACATCTAAAAGAATGTGTGGAAAACCTATTAGAGCTAATAAGGCTTTACCAATGTTGTAGGATAGAGGTGTAATATAGAAATTCATTTACTTTTATGTACAATCCGCAAATGATTGGAAATGTCAACGCAGACAAATTTAATTGCTTCTAACACTAAGATATTTAGGAATAGTTTAAGATGGAGGATGTAATTCTTGTACAATAGAAACTGCAAAATATTTCTGAGAGAAATGAAAGGTGATCTACATAGATAGCAGGTAGAAGGGTTAAAACATCCAGTAGCCTTTAGCCATGAATCTTATCAGGTTGATCTGTACTCTGAAAAACACCTCAGTAGGAATCCCACCTGATTTTTTGGAAAAATTGAGATCTGATCTGAAATTTGTACAGAAAATCAAAGGACTTAGAATATCCAACTGCTCCTGAAAGAGAAGAACAAATTTGGAAAGTTTCACAACCTGATATCTAACACACCAGGTCTTGGTATGTGACTAGCAAGTGACTACACCTCCTAAAATCCCCTCTGTTGAGGATGATGGCATCCTAGAGCAGCAAGGATGAGGCCTAGGTATAGGATCTCAAGCCTGGCTCTGGTGGTGATGGCCACACGTGGTACAGATGTGTGTCTGGCAGTCCAGTGGCAGGGGTCCTGGGCCACTTGAAGAGTGACCTCAGGCCTTCTACTCTAACTGCTGTGCACAATGCCCCTGATGGCTGTTTGTGCTTCATAACCAATGACAAATTCTCATGCTCCTGAAATTAGTCAAAGCCTTTTCTCTTTAATTAGCAACAGGGTATTCTACCTGACACAAATGTTAGTGAGAAAGATGAAGAACAGTCAAGGGACAATGGTGACTAGAGCTGTATTTTGGATGAGTGGATAAGTACGAATTTCTCTGAAGAGGTACATTTGAACAAAGATCATACTGTAAAGTTTATAAAAAAAAATGTTCCATACAGTTTCTACACACACGTGTGTGTTTATATCTAAATGAGCAAATGAAACCAGGAGTAGATTATCGTGGAAGCCTGATAATGGCTTCCCCAAAGAAGTCCACATCCTAAACTCTGGTACCTATAAATATTACCTTATTTAAAAGAAAAAGAAGGAAAAAGTGAGGAAAGAAAGGAAGGAAGGAAGGAAGGAAGGGAGGGAGGAAGGAAGGAAGGAAGGAAGGAAGGAAGGAAGGAAGGAAGGAAGGAAGGAAGGAGGGAAGAAAGAAAAGCTTTGAGTAGAAGTGATTAAATTGAAGATCTTAAGATGAGGAGCTCTTCCTGAGAAGGTCCTAAATTCCATCAAAATATCCTCAGAAGACAGTGACAATGAGAGATTACATCTCCAGAGAGGAGAAAGCAAAGCAGGCACAGAGGAAGAAACTGGAGTGAGAGGGGCTCAACAAAAACCCTGCAGATACCAGAAGCTGTGGGAGGAGAGAAGCAGATTCCCCAGAGCCTGCAGCCGGAGTGTGATCCTGCAAATGCCTTCATATATTTGGCTAAGTGAGGTGCCACAGCTACCTCTAGGACTGTGAGGTTCTTTTTCCCCAAATATTACCAAGCCTGTGGTAGTTTGTTAGAGTAGCTTAAGAAAAGGAGCACAATAATATAGAGGGAATCCTTCTGTATGGTGATTGAATTTAAAGACGTACTCTAGGGTGTGCTGTGAAGCTAAATCATGATGCTGCCTAGGTTAGATGTAGCGAGTACATTTTTAATTTATGATAGTTTGAACTTGTGCTTGGTTTATTGTGATATAGCCATGTCATGAAACCAGGAACATTGGTTTTTAATGTTAAGTTTGATCATCTAGAGAGAGAGCGGGAAATTAAAAGTGGAGAGAGTCAGAATACACATCCACACATGATCATCACATATCTTTTATGTAAATTGAAAATAGGTGGTTACAAAACAAGAACACACATTTATGCAAACACATACAAACAAAAATATCTGCATAAGCACGCAAGACTGGTTGCTAATGGGGGAAGGGAATGGGTATGGAGACAAGGAAACAAATACCAACAGAAATGAAAAATTCAGTTGAAAGACTGCCATCAGAAAGTTGGGAAAACTTCCTGTTAAATAGAAAGGAACAGAGAAAGCGAAGAAATGTAGAACAGAAAAAGCGCAATAATAGAGAGCCAGTTTGGAAGATCTGCCGCACAGACCTGTTCAAGAACAGAGCAAGCACGCGGATGTAAAAAATAATACAAAGGATTCCCATCTGTGGCTTGAGGTTAGATTGGAGAGAGAGCACAGAGCTAGAGAAGAGAGTAGAGAAGCTGACAGGGGTTAGATCCTAAAGACTCCACAAGGCACCTTGTGATAGACACCACCACAAAGCAGACCTGAGCAGGACTTAAATTCATCAATTGGCTTCTCATGTTCACTTGCGAATCTGTCCAAGGCCTAGGCTCCTTATCTGGAAATGGTGGACTCATAGTAAGTGAACCTCTGTGAGTCACTAATCCCTACTAAAACCTGTAGTGGTGGATGAAGCCAGAAAGCCTCAAAGGATAAGACAAGGTCACAGCCAAGGACACCTGGATCAGATCTCAACTAGATAAATACTATAGCCTCAGGCACCTCATTCTTCATTGGATTAACTTAACACTTTACTTAGAGAAGTCCATGTGAGGTTCTGCCCTCTTGAGTACTCCCCTCCCTTCTTCTGATAATCAAATAAATATGGGCGACCCAGAGAAGGTCTGGGTCTTAGCCCTGACAGAATCTTGAATTATGTGAGAGTGCTTTGATCCTCCTGGAGCCCTGAAATCATTCCATTTGCCTCTTCTTATTCAGCCTTCGCCATACACTCATTCAGAAGATTGTGAACCTGATCAGCCCACACTAACTGAGGGATATTATTAATCCCATAACCTTGGGGAACCGTTGCTGGAGCTAAGCTTGTACTCAGGGTGGTTCTAAAGCCTCTTGCTCCTCTGGAGTTTTACTCATCCTTCAAGGCCGAAGGTGACGTCACTTCCTCTGGAAGCTGCACAGGACTCATTTTGCCAGAGTATACAGTCCTTTCAGTAGACTTCTATTGTAAAATCCATTGCACTGTAATTAAATATTACTATCACCGTCAGAGGCTGGGTAGGACTCCTTCATCTTTAAATTCACAAAGCTTGGCACAAGGTGGTAACTTGACAGTCTTTTGCATTAGTCCCCAAAATAGTTTTCTCTGTCTCCAAATTTTCGACATTCCAAATAGTAAATAAGGAAAAGGCATGTGCAAGTTATTCGTGCGTGTGTGTGTGTGTGTGTGTGTGTGTGTGTGTGTATGTGTGCGCGCACGCGCGAGCGCCAGAGAGTTGTGCAGGTGAGATTAAGGTACAGCAACATGTTTAGAAACTTATCAGCGCGTCAGCCACCCTGCAAGACAAACTTTATAATCTCATTTGTACACACGGAGAAGCCGACCTGGGGTCCAAAGTCACACAGCTCTTAAGTGCCCTGCGTCGAAATCCAGCGTCCGCTTCCAGACTCTCCCTAGCTACCCTGCCAGATCCTCCACAGTAGTTATCATTCATGCAAAACCTTTTCTCGAGGTGTTTCACGTAGTTCGATAGATTTCCGGCTTACCAGCGTTTGGCTTCAAAGATTGAAAACACTGCCTCATTTACACAGGGTAAGACAACTCTTTAAAAAGAGTGAGTCTAATTTTCTAACTTGCTTTTGTGCACTTAAGGCAGAGGTGCCCAAGTGCACACTCGCCCTCCTCATTCCCCACCGCCCACGCGCGCTGCAAGGATCGAGGCGACAGCTGCCCGGGGTCACGTAAATGAATGAATGGGGGCGGGTCCAGAGCTTGCCTTCGGGGAGCAGGCCCCGCCCCGGCCCGCCCCGGCCCCGCCCCGCCCCGCCCCGGCCCGCCCCGGCCCCGCCCCGCCCCGGCCCCGCCCCTTCCCGCGACCCCGCCCCCAGGGTCTCCGGAGCCTCGGGTTTCGCGGAGCCTGCGATGCCAAAGCCGGGCTGAGCCCTCGCCGCACCCCCGTCGGATCCCTCGGAGGAAGGTGGATCCGAGGTCACGGCTGGGACCGGGAGCCGGCCCCCGCCCGCAGGGACCGCACGCGCATGGCCTCGTCCGCCGCCCCCGCGGCTGGGGGACCAGAAGGTGACCCGGGCGGGCGGCGAGGCTGGGTGCGGGGCGCAGGCCGGTCCCGGCAGCCAGCCGGGTGGCTCCAGAGGCCCGAGGGGTTTGTTTCCGAGAAGTCTCCGAGGCTGCGGCCCGAGACGCCTTGCTTTTTTGCTGGAGTTGGGGCCTGCCTCTGCTCCCGTCACTTCTTCCCGAGCTCTGCGCTGTGCGGTGTGCGAAGGATTTAAGAACCGCTCAGGGCCGGGCTTGGGCGCCCGCTGTGCGCCCAGCTCTCTGCAGGCACCGGCAGGGGTAGCGCCCAGAACTCCGGGCCACCCGGGGAGTTCAAGGCCACCGGACTACAAGGCGAACACCGCCCCACACTCCCCGCATTCAAATAAGTGTAACATTAGACAAACGCAAGGCATTGTCTTTATTCACTGTTACTCCTCTTTAACCTTATCTCCTTCCCTTCTTCAGCTGCTCTCAAAATTTTATAGACTTAAGACTTCCTCATGTTGCACTGATTGCTTTTTCCTTTCTTCCTGGACTACAAGGGCAATCTCAGGAAAACCACAAAAGTCAACTTCTGTATATTTTTCTTATTTTTTTCCCTTAAAACCAGTTATTTAGAAATGGCTAATGGATTTGCATGAAAGTTTGCATTCCAGCAATTCTGCGGGAATTCTACCTTTTGTTAAGTGACAGTTTAACCCTGGGAACCGGTGTCAAATGAATTGGTGCGAAGGAAGGGTAATTAATATAAGGAAAGAAGTGATTTGCAGATTAGCGGATGCACTTGTCTTCACAGAAGGATGGCGTTGTATTAATTCACCTATGGAGACACTTAGCTTATTTTTTGCCGTTTACACTTCATTTGGCTACAATGCTTCCCTAAAATTCCTAGTGCGCAGCTAAGATCACATACAGCCGACATTGCTCGCGCGTGGCAGATGAAGCTAAGAACTTCAGAACCCTTTGGAGATCACCTTGCTTCTCGTCCAACTTGAAGGGACTTACGAAACACGGGGGAAACAGGCAAAGCAAGCCAGGTGGCTTCATAATTTCTGCATGGAAATTCTAGTTAGGGAACAGTGGATAAGTGAAAGTGAAATGTTTTCAAATCACAGTGATGTTCCAGGATTGTTTTCCATTTGCTTCTTTGTGCTGTGTTTAAAATAGCAGTTAGCTGTTAGTGCAACAGATGTCTTAAGACTGTATCATTTTTGCACAGAAATGACACCTGTGTGTTTTCATCCATAGTCCCAGCTACGTGCCTGTCATTGTGATGTGTTTGCTTTCAAGGCGGTGGCCCCACAGGAAGTTCAACAGAGACACCGAGACGGTTTTCCAGGGATCAACTTTTTATCCTGATCTCAGCAGCTTCCATGAACTTGGGCTCCATGATGGCATATTCTGTCCTCGGACCTTTTTTCCCCAAGGAGGTGAGACATTTTTATATCTTACGAACTCTGTGTTTTAAAAAGCCCTTTCAGTTGTTTCACTTTGCGTTGCATAAGTACAAAAATTTGCCTGAACCTTGATGTGGTGCCCCATGCCTATGATCCCAGTAGCCTGGGAGGCTGAGACAAGAGGATCACAAGTTCAAGCCCAGTCCGGGCCACTTAGTGACGTAGTGAGACTGTCTCGAGAAAAAGAAAATTTAAAGGCTAGGGTTGTGGCTCAGTGTCAAGGCCTTGGGTTCAATAACCAGGACCACAATAAATGAATGAATAAATGAAATCTTCATATAGCGTAGATAATGTATCCAATTGCAGCCAGCAGAATTATTTCTTATGGACTGGGTTATGACTTGTGTCTAGGTGTTCACCCGGTGCCTCATGTGCTCACAGGGGGGCTTTTTATAGGTGACTGGATCATGGGTATGTGATACTGGGATTTAGGGTGTGTGGTATGGGATTAGCCCACTAACTGGTTTAGCATTGTTCTGGGTATAGAAAATGGGAAGGTCCACCCTCAGTGTGGTGTGACCTAGATGGAGTATAAAGGGAGGCTTGCTGCTGCCTGTTGCTGCTTGCTGCCTTCTTCCCTGCCTTCTTCCCTGCCCTACCATGAGCTGTTTCTGCAATGCCCCTCTGCTGTGCTACCCTGCCTTGGAGCCAGCTGACTATGGACTGAAACTGCTACAAACTGTGAGCTAAAATAAACCTTTCCTCCTTTTACTTGTGGGTGTCAAGTATTTTGTTCCAGCAGTGAGAAAATAATGAAAACAGAATGTTTAATACCAACAGACAAAATGAAATAACATCCTCTTGGAAAGTAATTCACCTGAAATATAACTGACATTCTGAGCATTATTTTACTTGATTCAGCTTTATTTGGTTGTTTGCTGCTGAAAAAATAGGTACACTGAGTAACTGAGATTTAAGAGTTGTTGCAAAAGTTTTGTGTTAAGATGGGAACTCTGTTTTCTGGTGTTCTGATTTATTAATATTTTGAAATTAGGAGCTGGTCCACCACCCTCTCCAACTTATTCTTTTCAGGATTGTGGACTGATGCCAGGGACTTCACACTGAGTTACATCCCCAGCTGTCATTATTTTGGACAGTGTCTCTCTAAATTGTTCAGAAAAGACTTGAATTTGTGGTTCTCCTGCCTCAGTCTACCAAAGTGCTGGGATTGCAGACATGTGCCAAACATTCAGCTATTAATTCTTTTCTGACTTGACTTTCTCATAGACTGTGGCAGCTCATTCAGGGCTTAAAATCTAATAGGACTAAGTTCTTAGAAGGAAAACCCAGTTCAAATTCAGTCTCTCCTACTGTACATTTACAGTACACATCACTTTCCTGGCTTCAAATTGTGTGGGAGTTTCTCTCCTCCAGCAAGCAATCAGTTCAGCTGCAGCATGTTCCCTAACACGAGTCAGTTCCGACACCACCTTCGACTCATTCTCTGGTACCAGCAGTTCCAAGACTGCCTCCCTGCTTCCGGTGCCATTGAAAGCCTAGCTTTTGTCTGTGCATTCAAGCATCTTAAATTGGGGTTCCTGCAAGCCCTCCTTAGGTTCAGTTAATTTGCTTGAATGGCCACAGGATGAAAGGAAACACTGATGCTTGCAGGTTTATAAAGGCTGCAGAGGAGGAGAGGCGCTGGTGAGCAGCCGTGGTGTGGAGCTTCCCTGGCCTCTGAGCGCCCTGCCCTGGAGCGCCATCCCGAGTTCAGTGTCCAGAAGCTCTGGGGACCCTGGTCGGTCTTGGTTTCTAGAGACCTCCTTGCAGGGATGATTGCTCAGAGACTGCGTATGAAAACTCACCAAGAACGGTAGGGACAGGTGCTTCTTGGGCTCTCTGTGTATTATTCTTCCTTCCAGGTGATGGGGCAGGACCCCTCTGACATGTCTATCAGACAGGGCAGGTCAGTAGATGCATAATAATATCACAGCACGTGTGGGATTAAGAGAGAGGAACTGGCTGAAATGTATCAGCCCCTTGGAAGGGTAGTTCCCAGCCCTGTTGGAACACAATGACCACAGATAATGTTAGTTTTCTCTAAGTGGAGCAGGGACCAAGGAAAACCAGGCTGAGAGTCCATGTTTTTAAGTTTTTAATAGCGTGTTTTTACTTTTATGGGAAAAGGGTGAAAGAAACAAAAGACAAATATAGGAGAGAGAATGTTCTCACTTTAAAAGATATAGTCATGTGTAGTAGGCTTTTCCTTTTCATTTTTTATTAAAATTCTACATTGGCCAACATCTTGATGAAATTTTACAATTCTTTCAGTGTGTTATAAGTGGGTAACTGCTAATCAGGCAAAAGACAAACAGGTTCATTCTTTTCATATACTGGTGCAGGAGTCTGTTTGTGTTTTTTCTGGCCGCTGTTGGATGATTACATGTGAACCAGAAATTGCTTCTAATGCTGTTGTCGCTTTTCTTGTGTGAAGCCAGATCTCATATTCCAGAAGTGGTGTTTTGTTGCTACCATGGCATGTGAGTCTAGAACATCCTATCTCATCCTGTACTGTGCACAGAATGTCAGGAGCATGCACCCGATGGTCACTGTACCGGCTCGGTGACGTGTAAGCTTTGCAGGTCAGTGTTCTCATCTATAAATGAGGGCCGCTGACAGTTCATCCTTTATTTGATTTTTTGTTAGCTTTTATGTAAAGTAGCACTTAATGGACATTCTGACCCATAACGAGTATCCCAGAAATATTAGTTGCTCTAACAATTATATATTTTCTGCCAAGTCCTAGAAACAAATGCTTGTCAGATCTATTAAACCAAAAACATACGTAATGTAATATGAGCAATAGGGGCTGGGGATTTAGCTCAGCAGCACAGCGCCTGCCTGGCAAGCGCAAGGTCGTGAGTTCGATTCCGGGTACCGGAAAACAAACAAACAAACAAAAACATAATATGAGCAATAAACATTCTTCCTATATCTTAATTGTTTCTTTTGATAATACCTTCCCTTGGAGGAAACTGTGTTATAGAAAGAATGTAGATCAAGTTCCAGCCTATATGTGGGATAGTTCTTTGCTGGGATGTTATTAAGTGGATCTTAATAATGACACCTCTTCCACCTCCACACAATTATTCATGGGATTATTAGTACACGGAAGGAAAATGGTCAATCATCAGTCCCTTAGAATTATAAGCTTGAATCATCTAAGCAAGTACTGTGGTGCTATGGGCCCATTCTCCCAGGCCTCCCCCACATAGGCTGCTTTATTGAGCACAAGTGGTTGTCGTAGTTTATTTCTGACCACTTCGCCCCTGTCTGCTTTCCTCTTACATAATGCTCCGAGAAATGTAGGACTCGCTGAAAGAGGCATAAAAACAACCCTTAGAAAAGGCAAGAAGAAATGACGATGGTCTCTTACATGGAAAGGGATAGAGAAAAATCTATCTTACAAGTGTAATTGGAGGCCTGGAGATGTTAGCTCAGTGAAGAGGTACCTGAGGCTCTGAATTTGATTCTCGACTCTGCAAAAAGGATTGTAGTTAGAGAGAACAGTAAAGAAATGTAGTTATGGCTGTTGTAGAGAATAGATTTTGAGTGTATACAAGTGCGTGCGTGCGTGCGTGCGTATATACATGTGTTGCTTTTCTGTATATGAGTAAAGGTGTTTGAAAGTCGGATGAGAGAATAAATACAAGCATCAACAGTCACTGCTGATGCAATGCCTAGCACACAGGAAGTGCTCACTGAATGACTGTTGACTGGCTTAGAGAACACAAGTGTGTGGTTCAGGCCTCCAGATTCATAGTGTGCTAGAATGCCAATCATGTATTTAAACTTCTTTTTTTCACGGCACTGGGGATTGACCACAATGGCTTGCATCCCCATTCCTTTTTATTATTTTGGCAAAAAGTCCTGCTAACTTTCCTGGCTGTTAGGGTTGATACATCGTGTCAACTTGGGAAGTCTAGAGCTTTGGCTAAGTGACTCAGCAGTTCTACATCCTGGGGTGAAAAGGACATCCCTTCCCCTTCTGGGATGTTGTTCATTGTGTCAGTTTGAGAAGTTTAGAAGGTGAACTATGTGACTCAGCAGGGAGCCAGGGTGCTTACTTTGTATTCCTCCTGAGCCTGTACAAGAGGAGGGCGTGGAGATGATGTGAGCGCTACACGCCCCCCGGGGTGGGGGGAGCCTGCTTACAACACAAGGGAGGGAAAGAGGCTTGCTCTGTGCTGCCACTCCTCCCTTTGCTCTTGTTGCTTTACTGTGTTCCACCGCCATGAATGTTTGCCCTCTGCCATGTGCTGCTCTGCCTTGGAGCCAGCCGAGTGTGGATTAAAACCTGCACAAACTGTGAGCTAAGTAAACCTTTCCTTCCTTCATTTTGCATGTCAGGTGTTTTTGTCTCAGCATGGAGAGAAAAATAACCAAGCCACTGGCTGACCTCTAACTTGAGATCCTCCCACCTCAGCTACTCTAGGAATGAGCGTTTTAGGCATGTGCCACCATGCCTGGCTAAACTCATATATTACTCATATGTAACTCCTCAAATTTCTATAGCTGGGGCCTGATATAAGGAAACATTGTGTTTCCAGGGTGTGAAAAAGTTTTCAAAATCTTGTCTCTATTTTTATGTGTGAATTCGGGGGTGCATCAATATGGTAGCATTTAAAGTTACGAAGAGTATGTAGTTAGGATAAATACTGAATCATCTGTAACAAATCTCAGCGCTTCCTGGTGGAGTAGACTATATACATTAATAGGATTTCTGGGTGGTAAGCTACTGTGCATGGCTCCGAACTGGGATATCAGGAAGCATCGTTTTTCTGTGCTGTTGATCTCAGGAAGGAAAACAGTGTCTCCAAAGTGAGGTAATTCTAAGAACCGTGGAAGCAGGGAACCGAGCTCACTGTGCTTTGGTGTGATTTTGTGCCAGTTCTCGGGATTTTTACACTGACCAGTGGTTTTTGATTGTCCTTAGTGGAGTACAATCATAACTAAAAATGATACTAAAAGGGAAGTGTGTCTTCATCAGCTGTCCCCTCAGTCCTGTGACTGCAAAGTAGAGCCCACATTTTCTTACCCAGGATATTTTGTGTATGTCCATATTCTCTGACTTGTGCCAACTGACGAAAACACTTCTTTAAAGACATGTGAGTGAATTATTTTCCTGTCGGAGATGAGTATTTACTCTCTAAACTGCTTTTTCTCCTTCGCTGCACCACTGACTTGGAAGTAATAGTCTCTAGAGTTATTATTACAGAATGTACCATAGAGGTCACAAGATGATGATGTTTTGATCTCATCTTCCTTCTTTTTTTTTTAAATGCTGATGCTGTTTTATTTTTCAAACTTCGTTCCCATTTCTGTTTCTTGAAAGGCTGAAAACAAGGGAGCCAGCAATACCATGATTGGCGTGATCTTTGGATGTTATGCTTTATTTGAGTTTTTGGCATCTTTGGTGTTTGGCAAATATGTAAGTATTAAAGTTCACATACACATTTTCATTCTTAAAAATTATATAGTTAATTATTCTTATTTAGTAGTCTACAATTTCCATGGATTCAGAAATAACGTCTATTCTAGTTTTTTAAATGATGCCATTGTTAAGGGGTTGATAGGATTTGGAATCCCTCCATGTTTGTAAGCAATGCATATTACCATTCTTTTAAAGTAATTCACTGTGTTTGTTCATGTAAGTATAGACTCGTAGAAGTAATCCTTTACCACTCTTCTCTGACATTTATTATAGCTTGTACATATTGGAGCAAAATTTATGTTCATAGCAGGAATGTTTATCTCGGGAGCAGTTACAGTTATCTTTGGGTAAGTCACTTTTTGAGATGCTTGGGAAGTTGAGCGGATTTCATGATCTCTTCAGTTTCAAGTGTTAATGCCTCCTTCAGCATGAGCAGTACCATTCCTTCCTGTGGAATACATGACCTGTGACTGCTGGTGGCAGGAGCTAGGTGAGCAGAGAACAGAGAAGAATGATCTGATCCTAGGCCCAGCGTGGTGGCATACGCCTGTAATCCCAGCACTCAGGAGGCTGAGGCAGGAGGATCTTTGCGAATTCAAGACCAGCCTGGGCTACAAAGTAAGCTCAAGGCCAACCTGAAGTACATAGTAAGACCCTGTTTCAAAAAGACAAAAAAAAAATGTGATGATACTGATCTTAGGTGCCATTCGAGGGTCACCAGTAAACGGGCTACTGGATCTACCCCTTTAGGGCTCCTGTGACTGAGTGATAAGGATTATAATTTTTTCAGTCATACAGCCTTTCTGTCATAGATAAAAAAGTGAATTTTTCCCCTAAAATATCCTAAAATTTTTCTCCTAAAATATTTCTCCTAAAATATTTTTATATCCTAAAATATCTCCTAAAATTTTCTCCTTCAAAAACATCCAGATACAGATGTGGAAACAAGGTCTTCAGAAGTCTTTCTCAGCTTTTGGGTTCTGGTTGCTCCTTATGCTTTGTTCTTGGGCAAGCCCACTCCTTTTGGCAACAAGATAAACAGCCACTTTTCCTGAGAGCCCCCTCACCCAACATTAGGCTTGCAGAGTGGAACCCTCAGCCTGAGCTTTGTTGGCTTATCCCGGCTTCCTGAACATTGCAGCCCAGAGGAAAGAATGTTCTGATTGGCCAGCCCAGCTTACGTGCTCACTTCAGAGCAGGAAGCAGAGTGGCATCCCCACTACAACACTTGCTATTTCCGGGAAAACAAATACGAGAGGTAAAACAAACATGAAAGTTCTTAGAGTCTTTAAGCCAAAAAAAGCATAGTGGAAAATAATTTTAAAGAGCTCATATAAGAACTTAGAGAAAATACAGAAATGATACGAGTATGTTGAGATATGGTGGCATATGCCTGTAATCCCAGCATGCAGGAGGCCTAAGACAGGAGAACCCTGAATTCAAGACCAGACTGGTCTACACAGCAACTTCAAGGCCAGAGTGGACTTTGTCTCAAAATTCCATCTCAAGACTCTGTCTCAAAACAAACAAACAAACAAACACACAAATAGGTAGGATAAAATAAACTCCGGATAGTCATTATGTTAAGTGAGGTTGTTTTTCTTTTTCTTTTTTTGTGGGGACTCTTTTATTTTCTGCATTCCTTCCTTTTTTTGAAGGTTTGGGTCCCATGTGGGAGAAACTTGATAGTTAGAAGTTCTAGTAGGTCTTGTTTTAATGATTCTACACTATTAGTTATCTGTATCTGTGGGTTCCACATCTGTGAATTCACCCAACTGCAGATCGAAAATATTTGAAGTAAAAATGTGTCTGTACTAAAACTGTACAGTTTTTCTTTGTCATTCTCTGTGGTTTTTTTTTTTTTTTTTTTTATTTTCTTGGTCTTTTTGAGACAGGGTCTCGCTATACAGTTCAGGCTGGCCTTGAGCTCACTTTGTAGCCCAGGCTGGTCTTGAACTTGCAACGATCCACTTGCCTCAGCCTCCTGAGTGCTGGGATTAGAGGCATGCACCACCATGCCTGGCTTCTTTGTCATTCTCTAAATAAGAGTATACAACCATTTACATACCGTGTACATTGTGTTAGACTTACACATGTGTAACACCTGTGTTACAATTAACTAGAGATGATTTAACACTAGTGGTGTAGCTCAGGGGAAGAGCACTTCTTGACTATGGGTGAGACCCTGAGTTCAACACCAGAACTACGAAAACACAAAAACAAAACAAATAAAAACAGGAAAGAAAAGAAAAAAATAAACCCAATAGTATGGATGACTTAACACAATACAGAAAGATATGTGTGGTTCATATGCAAATATTGTGCTTTTTCCATATGAGACTATAGTATCCTTGGATTTGGGTACCTGGCCAGGTTACTGGAGCCAGTCTCCATGGAAACAGAAGGATAATTATAACCCTGAAAGGGGCCTACTTAGTATTATCATGCAGGGAATCAATTATCTTAGCAATGCCACTAAACTGTCATTATGAATCAAATTATAACCAAAAAAGGTAAGTCTAACAGAGCAATTGTTTAAAAATCATAGTCTCCAGAAATCCATTCTATTAACTACGGGTGATGCATTGCTGTTTTCAGTGAGTACAGTCAGAATGGGGAAGAAAGCTTAGCACTGAAGAAGTGCCTCATTTCTTTTTAGTGTCATGGACCGACTTCCAGATGGACCAGTGTTTATTGCTATGTGCTTTCTAGTGAGGGTAATAGATGCGATAGGCTTCGGAGCGGCAATAACTGCATCATCCTCCATCCTCACAAAGGCTTTTCCAAATAATGTGGCAACGGTATTGGTAGGTGGTCCACAAATTCTTATTCTCTTTTGAGTGTATGGAGAAATGTGTTTTTGAGTCTCTGAGATAAAGCTTGGGGTGCATTCTTCTATACCTGCTTTTCTCCATTCTCTTGTTTTCATTATCTTACCCCGATTTCTCCTTCTAACAACAAGGCTGTCAAAAAAAGTGCACCATTTGTGGCACTCAGCTGCCGCTCCTCTGGTCTTAGGATTCCCTGGGTGGGTAGTTCGACAGGTAAATATGGTCCAAGCGGCTTTCCCTTTTACCACTTTAATTCCCGTATTCTTTGTGAGATTTTGGGATTTATTAACGGCGCACTTTTGTGTACTCTGTGAGCCTTGGGAATGTGAGGCTCAAGCCACAGGTGTCTGCCTGTTCCAAGCCCTAAGAGCTAGATTTGTGTAGAATGCTGCAGTTTCTTTCATAGGAGACTACTTTTTCCACAGTACTGTTTTGCTTATTTTAACTTTAATTCACCAAATAATTTTACATGGTACAAAATTTAAAAGCACAGGCAGTAATATAGGCTATCATAAATATATTGAACTGGTTGCTAAGCTTGATGCACTCTTACTGTCAGATTCCCAGTCCTCTCCCCTCTCTAGGAAATCCACAGATGTTACAGGTTTATTCTAGAGGGATTACAGATATCTATGTGTGAGCACACACGTACACATGTGTACACACTAAAAGATAGCATGATTTTTCTCTCTTGTATTTTCTTTACACACACAATACCACCTATGCAAGTCATTTACCACCTTGGTGATTACCCTAACAAAGGTAATATTGGAGCTCAACTTTGCTGTACATATGTTAATAAATATGTTTCTAGTCTTCTTTACTCAGTGTATACTATTTTATTCTATGGATGTAACCTAGCTCATTTCAATTCTTGGATCATTCACATCTGTAGCCTGGCAGGAGAGAGTTCTGATACGTGATTAATGAGAACTGGCATATTGACGTCTAAATGGATCCATTTCTTTTAAAAAATTAGAGCGATCTGCTTCTTCTGAGAGCTGTTTGTATCACACTTTACATGTCAGCTGTCCATGGCCCTTGCCTCTTTTCTTATTGGTTCTCACTCTTTTCCTCACTGATGCGTTGATTTCTCTGGATATCTTTGGTAAACTAGTCTTTTGTCCGTATTTTCTCCTGTTCTTCATTTGTCCTTGCAGGCCTTATTTTTCCATGCACATTTTTTATATTTTCATATCATAAGATTTATCAATCATTTCTCATGTCTTATACATTGCAGATCATAATTAGAAAACCTCTCAATTGTAAGAAATGAAAAATAGCCCAGGCAGAGTAACATTCACCTGAAATCTCAGCTGCCTGGGCAGGAGGATCACTCTGAGGTCAGTGTAAGCAACATACTAAAACTTCGTTTAAAAAAAAAAATGAATGAGAAAACTCTCATATTTTATTTAAATTTTCTGCTATTTTTTCCATTACTGCAGTTTGAATCCAGGACCTTCTTACTGAGCTACACCTCCAGCCCTTTTTATTTTTTTTTAATTTTAAAAATTAAAGAACTAACCAAACAACAATGAAGACAAAATCAAAACAACAAAAATGATAGACGACATCAAAACAAAATGATAGGAATTAACAGTGGTTGCTGCATTACATACTGTTGTCTTCAACGAAGTTTCTCAGTCCACCAACATAAGAATGTAAGATTGATCAAACAATCAAAGACAGTAACAAGCAATTAAAAAAAAATCAACATTGGAAATGATGCAGAGCTTTACCATACAAGATGGTAGGAGTTCAACAATGGTTCTTCTACTGCATATTGTTGTTTTCAGATCAGTCATTCTGATTACCAGATTCAAGTGGCAAAATTGGGCAAGGAAAAAAGAAAATTTTAAGCATTGATTTAAGCTGTTCCTTTCAATAAACCACAGACACCAGCAGTACACCTATTCCAGCCATCCTTATATATACATATAAATTTTGTTTTTCATTAAAAAAACAATAACAAAACAAATACATAAACAAAACAGCCTTTTTTATATTTTTCTCTTCTCTCCCTCTCTCTTTTTTTTTTAAGTTTTGAGACAGTATCATAAATCCCTCAGTTGCCTGGCTTGGCTTATTTTTCTAGTCTTACTTTACAGTCTCAACATATAGACTTAGACTTAAATTATTTGTGCATCTTGAGGTTGTGTGTGTGTGTTTGTGTATGTGCATAAATTATGAAGCAGATAGAATATTTTTTAAATGCTACCCTGTCAGTTCCCCAAATGCAATACGTTAACTTGATTTTCTTTTGTTTTCTGATTTTTAGGGCAGTCTTGAGGTGTTTAGCGGGCTGGGGCTTGTCGTAGGTCCTCCTTTAGGTGGCTTCTTGTATCAGTCCTTTGGCTACGAGGTGCCTTTTATTTCCCTGGGATGTATCGTCCTGCTGATAATACCACTCAATGCATGCATCTTACCCAGTTATGGTGAGTCCGCACTTGCTGCTTATTTTAAGAATCTTAAATTCGTTTTTATGCCATTGTGAGAAAACATTTAACCAGATACTCACTTTTATATAATAAATAATAGCTCTTAAGAGCACTTGAAAGAATCAGTTCTCTTCTCATACATGTTGAATATTATCGAACTGTACGGGAATTTCTGCGTATTGCAAATCCTTTTGACATCGGCAGCTGCAAAGACTTCATTTGTGGCCATAAGCTGTCCCCATACGCAGTGCCCACCTGTGTTCAGAACAGGGACTGACTGTGGGTCTCACGTGGCCCCTATTGTCCTAGGAGGCTGGGAGATGGGAGGGCGAGGCCGATCTTCCCCGCGGTGGGCCTCGCAGCTGTGCGTGCAGCTCAGGTCGCGGGTCCCCGCCAGGCAGAGGTGCCGCTCACCCTGGTTTCAAAGCTCCATGCCTCAGGAGCCTGCCCGCCCTGTGACAAACACACGGACATCGCTGCCAGCTGGTCCACGAGGGACTTTTCAAAGTTAAGTTTATTGGTACAGTTTAGCTATGCATAGTGGCCGCATTCACATAGGGGATTTGCACTGTACCATCAGCACCTTCATTCACGATGGACTTGATCACAACAGCGCATTCACCAGGCAGGACACAGGGTGTCAGGTACTAAAGGACCATTTGTAGTTTCTTCTGTCTTCATGAGATTTCCTAGTCAGACTTTCTTACTACAAAGTCTGTCCAGTGCCGTGGTGTGCGATGACACCAGTCAATTCTCTAGGGTCCCAGAACTGCAGAGGTAACCAGAGCGCTAGAAAACAGAGCCGGAGAGGCAATACCCCGCGTGGCCACGCGGTGGGGCTTGTTCTCTTTCAAAGCGCAACGACGCCTGCTTCGCTGTGCTCAGATTTGTTGGATACTGCGCGGATTATTAGGAAACAGACACCCATTGAGATACGAATGATACAGGAGCAAAACTTGTGAACTCTTTATCACACCCTGTGATGGAAAAAGACTTTGCTGAGGTAAATTACTTCATGTCCGAGCTGGGTACAGGTATTTGGTGGTTAGGTGCAGATTGATCTCAAGGCCTTCCACCTGGAGCCCTGCTCTCCGCTCCAGTGGCTGGGAGTCTCTGGGATTCTCTGGGATGGCATCTCGGTGGGGCCTGGGTCCCAACCCTCCTGGGATGCCAGCCTTGGGTATACACTGCTTTTCCCACGGCGAGGTTTAATTGATAAATTAGCACAGTCCTCGATGAAGAAAAATAACCGATAGTAAAATGCAGCATCGTAACTGTACTATAATAAGAGTTACTTGAAACTTGTGGAGTTTTAAGTTTTTGGAATTTTCCATGTAGTATTTCCAGACTAAAGTTGACCTCAGGGAATGGAAATCTCAGAAAGCAAAGCTACATCTTGGGGTGTGTATGTGTGTGTGTGTGTGTGTGTTTGTTATTCGCTTAAAAATTGGTAGCAAAATCAATTTAAATGTGCTGTCCACAGAGCAATGCTAGTGTGTGTCGTATCTCATGTATTATTAAAGGCTTGTACAAGTGCCACAATGTGTGCATACGTCAAAACATGCGTGCACTGTGAATATGTAGTTTTTAAGTGTCCTGTTAAAAAAATCTTTAAATCTATGACATGTGAACTTTATCCTGAAGGCCACTAGGAGCTAGTTTTAGATTCAAGCAGAGGCTGCGTGAGGTGGAGACTCCACCGCACTCTCCCTGCGAGACCACCTTTGTGTTACCTCTCCTGGGAATTCTCCCAGAGCTCCTTGATCTGGAGAAGAGACGCGGAGGAAGCGGTGTCACAGTGCCCGGCTTGCTTTCTGCTCGGGCACACCTGAAGACCGCGCCACACCCCCGTCTCGAACATTAGCTTAGAGCAAGTGTTACCAAAGCAGAATTTGGAGGAAATCCTTGGTGCACCCCAATAGCCTTGAAACGCTCCCCAGGTGACTTTGCTTGGTCTCTCTTGAGCCAAGTGCCATCCCCATTTTCATTATTTGGTCTTTAATACCTTGACTAATGTATTCTTAGATATATTTGTGGATTTTTTTAAAAGGGTATTTTTTGTGCAGTAATGGTCTCTGTTACACCTTACCACTTAGTAACATAGTGTTATTGATATGCACAATCAATATACCCAATTGAAATTGGAATCTTTTGCAATTTATATTTTAAAGATGACTAATTAACCTCCTTGACGTACAATATGCACATCACATGGTCACCTTGCTGCAGTACCGCACGGAGCCACACGGTGGTGCTCGCCCTCTAAAGTTGAACTACAGCTGCTGTTTGTGAACTTGAGCAGCGGTGGGGACAGTGATGAGCGAGGTTCAGTTTTGTGTCGCGTACTTGGCTGAGAAGTGGCTGGAAACACCATGGCGTTTTTGTACGTTGCTCCACTCGTAATCATTACTGAATAAGCGTAGAATGATGAACCGTGCTGGGTGCTGATGGAACGAGGACATGCGAGCCCTGACTTTAGAGAACCTCGCGGTGCAGTTCCATGGCCATCTCCGCAGAGTCCCTGGAACCACGTCCGCACCGGCCGCGGCCGTCCGGCCACAGAGCACGCCCTAAGCCGCCGGCCCGATTGTCATTCCTGCCCGAGGCCCCGGGGATTCTCGGGCTTCTTGGCAGGACGCCCAAGGTGCCCCCACTGCTGCCGCAGTCGTGGCGTCCCCCCCAGCCACGTCCTCCAAGCCGCCTCTCTTCCGCTGTTCCCACGCGGGGGCTTCCCCTCCGTTCTGAGGCTCCCACGGGCACCTGGATTATTCTTGCGCCCTTCTTTGATTGCTCATTACCAGCGCCTTCTTTGGGCTCTGGCTCCGGCGTCAGGGCTTTGCAAGTCTTTCCCAGGGCCCCGCCAGGGGTTTCCAGGCAGCGGCCGCCCTGCGCCACCGTCACCATTCTGGCGCGGTCCCCGCCCTCTGCGCGCTTTGCTGCGATTTCTCTGCAAGCACCGGGTGCGGCTGCCCTGCTTTAGCGTTTTGCATAGCGCTGGGCTCAGCCAAGATATTGTTCAACAAATTAAACGGAGGATAAAAAGCCGCGGGACAGTGGTAAACGACACAAAGGGAAAGTTATTTTAGTGTCTGATTGTGGTGAGGGACAGCTGAGACGTAGCGTAAGAAAGAAGAAGCAGGTACAGTGTGTGGGTGAACGAGGGCCAGAGGCAGAGTGGAACTTGAAATTTCGCAGAGAAACAGGACAGAGGCCTGCAGCGTGACCGGAGGCCTGGACACGGGGATGTCTGATGGTTACAGTGAGGAGACCGCGGTCGTGTTGGTGAACGACAGAAGTGAGATGGAACTCACCTGTCTTGAATGCCAAAAGTAATTCAGAGAAGACTCGTAGCACCGTTCGTTCGCAATCCAGTGTTTGCTTTGCCAACAGGCAGAAAATTATTCCTTTTTTTAAAAAAATTAGCCGGGCATGGTGGTGCTCGCCTGTAATCCCAGCACTCGGGAGGCTGAGGCAGGAGGATTGTTACAAGTTTGAGACCAGCCTGGGCTACAAAATGAGCTTAAGGCTAGCTTGAACTGCATAGCGAGACCCTGTCTCAAAACAGATAAAAACAGTAACAACAACAAAATAATTAAGGTATGTTCCTCGTTAAGCACACACCACACATTATTCCTTGGTGAATGGCACTGCTTTTTCCTGTATAAAATCACGCTGTGGGTCCTCTGTCCCTCCAGAAGAGGCCCTGCTTCCAGGTTATAACCTAAAGCCCAAGGCAGCTTCTACCCGCACTCCTCTTCTACTCAGTTCTCCTTGGATTTGTGAAATTTTTAAAATGAAGTTGAGTATGGCTTCTAGATTCAGATAACATGTACAAGTGTAATCGTGTACAATTTTAGGCAAACTCAGAGGTGAAGTTCATTCTTTTGCTACATAAAGTTGATCTGACCAATTTTAGTTTTTAAAATAAGTTAAAAGATAAAGTGAAAAGCTGTTCATTGATACAATTCCTTTCTTTCTTTCTTTTCCCCATGTTTCTGCCCAAAGAGTCTGACCCAAGTGAACATTCATTCTGGAAACTTGTCACGTTACCCAAGGTCGGCCTTATAGCCTTCGTCCTCATCTCTCTGAGCTCCTGCTTTGGCTTCCTCGATCCTATTCTGTCTCTTTTCGTCTTGGGCAAGGTAAGTGGCCTGATCATTGAAGAGCTGTGCTTTGTAGCAGAGGGACCCAGCTGCTTGCTTTTAGGCCCTTCCTTAGGCAGAGTCCTTTGAATGGCAGAGAGCAGGACGTGGGCTGGGAACTGCACACCGAGGTGCCTCTGCCTTCTCTGCGCTATCGCTGTGAAGTAAGGATATTGCATCAGTAACTTTTTATAGCTGGGACAAAATGCCCAACCTCACATCTTAAAGAGGAGAGGTTTAATGTTGCTCACGGTTTAGTCCATGGCTGGCTCCCAGGCAGACACATGGTGGGAGGGTGTGGTAGACCAGAGACGCTAGATCATGCCAGCTGGGATGCAGAGCAGGAAAAATGCACCAGAGAGAAAGGGAAGAAGGTCCAGACACAGACCCCCAAGACCACACCTCCATGATCTACCCAAACGCACCTAGAAGTGTGCTCCACCAATAGCCTGGATAGATCCCCAAAACAATCAAGTTGACAATCCTCCCTAACTGCTACAGATGTGAGTCTGTGAATTAAGGGTCTGCTTCAGTAATGAAGAAGGAGTCCTTTCCCTAGTCCTGTCCAAGACTTGCTCATGCCCTTGTAGGTCAGGCTTGGGCATCACTCATGCCATCTAACTAGGACAGATTTCCTCTGTTTGTTAGAGCTTCCTTCTTTGGAGTTCTCACTAGCTTATTTAGTGTGAGTGCCCACCTTGTTCGTAGACTCTCCTGGGTCCACTCTACTTTTTTTAGGCTGTTTGATCCAATTAGATGACTACGAACTGTGTTATTCTGGGATGGGAGAAAGGAACCAGGAATCTCATCTAGTACTGAACAATAAATGTGGGATTCCCAAGGTTTGATAGTCATAGACCTTTGCTCATAGATATTTTTGAAAAAAAAATGATTTAGTGGCTTTTCTTATGTGAGAAACCCAAAATACAAATAATATGAAGAGCAAAATAAAAGAAAGAGACAGAAAACAGGAAATAGCCATTTGCAGATAGGAAGGGAATCTAGGAAGGGAGAATGGAAGGAGAAGGAAAAGGGAAGTGAGCAGTACGAAGATATGAGATATGGATAGATATATCCAACTCCCCGCGGTCAGTGTGCTATTATGTGTCACAAACATGCACTAATAAAATTTTTTTTAAAAGTTTGTTATTAAATGACAAAAAATAATGACAACAAAATTTATTAACAAACCTGGTAGGTAGTTATGCTGGAGAGATGATATGTCTATAGAGACAAGGATAGATAAAATTTGAGCCATTAGCATTAAAATAGCGTAATTGCAATGAAAATAAATTCCCATGGTCATTTCACATGGTTTCTTTATTTATGTATCATAAGAGTTAGAATTCATCTTTCTTATACTTGCACACTACCCCTTGAAATTACTAAATTTTAATTATTTCACACACAACCTTGTGGGCTATAATTTTAATACCTGGGTTAAATTTGAGAGACTCAGTATGCTGTGCTATCACACTTACCAGTAACTATGCATGAGGTAACACAAGACAAAAATTAGTTTATGTTTCTTGTGGCACAATCCCTTCACATCCTGAACAACATGCCTTTTTGAGTCATGTTTACGTACTCACTGAGATGTTGTGTCTATACTGAAAAAAATCTGTAACTCATCTCTGAGCTTTTTTATGTACATCTTAGAAAAAAAATTAAGAAAAAATTTTTTTTCTCAAGAAAATACGGCTTATTCAAACAGGAAGGGAGAGACAGGAAGTTTCCCTGAACATAACCGTGGTTGACCCATTTGTAGCATGGTAAGTAGGAGAGGCCTTCCTTGTTCCCAAGGGATGGACAGGAGACCTCTCACCCCCTCGGGACTCTGCGGTACCTCTTGACTGTCTCAGGTTGAGGGTGCTGCTGCCCCCTGCTAGCCAACTCCAATTTAACAAATCCGTAGATATTTATTTCCCTGTTTTTTTCTATCAATAGTTTGTATCCCGGTGCCCTTCTAATTTCTTGTGTTTTTCACTTGGCAGTTTGCTATAATTAGTTGTCCAGTTTGTTAAGGTAGTATGGACCCCCTCTCCCTCCTGCCTTTATCTCTCCAGTTGCAAGATAAGAAAACATTTCAGGCTGCCCTCTCTGGCTACTATCTTTTAAAGGATGCATTTCCGACGTGAGTTAGGATTTGTTGTACAAATGATGAAAACGTGTATTGATTCACAAACGATTCCCATGGCCTTAATTATGAAAATTAGTTAAGGACATTAAAGAAAGAAAAACAACCTATATACCCCTTGCAAGGCATTCCTACCATGTTTGTGATATATCAGAGTTATGTGAGGCCTTTTAAAATATGTCATGCCATCTAATTTTGTATTAGATACTAATACTCCTTTGAGATGGGTAGACATTGCCATCAGTGTATTTTTTATACCAGAGACACTCAAAGCTCAGCTGTGGGACTGTTAACGTTACTGAACTTCTTAGAAATTCAGATCCTCAGGCCTCATTCTAGCACTTCTGAATCAGAAAACCTAGAAGGGAATCCAGCAATCTCCTTCAGTCAACTCTTTAGGTAATTCTTATGCACAAAAAATATATGTGAAACACTGATTAACATATAAACATGCTATTATTCATAAAACCTAAATTATATGCTTAACATCAAATGCTACAGTGTAGCATCAAATACTAGAAAATAAAACATCTAGGCCTTTTCATCTTTGGTTAGGATTTTTCTCTTCTAGAGAAAAAGAAACCCATTTATAAAAATAAGACCCAAATTGAGAGAAATACTGAGTGTTAGTAGCAGATTCATCATAATAATAAAAGCTAAAGAAACTATAGGAGGGAAAGATGTAGATACTTATTTTTTAAAATGACTTAACCGTGTGAGTTTAATATACAGATTCTCTTCCAGTTTAATTTACCAGCTGGATACGTGGGACTGGTCTTCCTAGGGCTGGCACTGTCCTACACCATTTCTTCACCACTGTTTGGATTACTAAGTGACAAAATGCCAGTAAGTACACGTAACTCTTCCCTTACATGTTTAGGCCAGTGATTTTCCAACCGTTTCTCTAGAACTTGTAAGATCCCTTGGTTACAAGTGACAAAGGCAGTTTGATTGGAGGAGAGATTCCAGTGTCGTCCACCCTCAGCCATCACTCCGGGCAGGTTCACTTTTCACTGCTTCTTAGGGGAGTGGAAAAGTCTTATGCTAAAACTATTGAAAACAGTTGGATTAGACTTTCTAAAGAAAAAAGCTGCCTTGATGAAAAATAAAATGGGTTGAACTGAATAATTAGGTCAAATCGTAGAGGTTATTATGGAACTGTGTCAACTGAAAGATTTGGCTTTAGGAGGAGATCATTTATTTGGAGAGAGTGGGGAGAGTGCGGGGTAAATGTGTGTGGAGCATTCCATCCCCATATTCTAAGAAATTCCTTCTGTTCTCTCTCTTTTTTTTTTTTTGGTTTTTGGTTTTTCTCCGGTACCGGGAACCGAACTCACGACCTTGCGCTTGCCAGGCAGGCGCTTTGCCGCTGAGCTAAATCCCCAGCCCCTCTTCTGTTCTCTCTCAATGAAATAAAATCCCTTCAGTGTAGATAACTGGTATACAGAACTAGTGATATCATTCAAATCTCAAATTGCTGTGACTTCTTTTGTAGCTTTAGTGCTTAGTTCTGCAGTTTTCCCTTTCCATTAGACAGATTCACATATTTATCAAAAGACAGCTACGTAGGTAGGGATTACTTACTATCCCAGGTGCCAAGATGTTAGTGGCTTGAACACTGTTTGAGCTGGATTTTTAAGACATAATTTTATATAACTGAACAGCTATTATAACCCTGTAACTTTTAGCCTGACTCATAGTTTATAAGGTATAATTTTATTGCTGTCTCAGGCTGTTCAAACTTCCACAACAGAATATCATAAATGATAATAGAAAGTTCTTTGTCACAATTCCGAAGCCTTGGATGTCTGCGATCATGCACTAGTGATTTGTTTTCTGATAGAGGCTCATTTCATGCGATTTATCGCATTATTATTATTACTATTATTGTTATTGTTATTTTGGGTTTTTTGAGGCAGTGTCTCACTATGTAGTCCAGGTTGACTTAGACTGACTAGGTAGCCCAGGCTGGCCTTGAACTTGCTGCAATCCACCTGCCTCAGCCTCCTGAGTGCTGGGATCACAGGTGTGCGCCACCACACCTAGCTGATTCCCTAACTGAAGATGGTGGCCTTTTCCCTGTAACTCACATAGAAGAAGGAGCGAGGAGGCCCTCTGCAGCCCCCCATTCACGATATCCTGCATCCCCCAGTACAGTCACATTGGGTGTTAGGGTTTAACGCATGTGACCAGGAGGCATGGGCAACCAGTACTTTTTCAGAATATGCTTTTTCTAGGTGTTGTAAGTGTAAGCTCCCTATGGTGACTGCTTTTTAAGTTGTTCATCATTTAGGCTGGGAATATAGCTCAGCAGCACAAGCTCCTGCCTAACAAGCACAAGGTCCTGAGTTCGATTCCCAGTACCAAAAACTAAAATAAAGGAAGTTGTTCGCCAAACTAGTTCATGGTGCACAAAAACCTGCCTTGCATTTCCCATCTAAAGAATCCTGTCCCTTGCTCATTTCTTCTTGAGGTAGATTGTCCTTGCTTTTGAGTTCATTTTCCACATATTTCCTCTTAAATGTAGAATTTCATTTTCTAGAATGTGCTTTGACTTTTGGATGTCGTGACTTGTATGCTTTAATGGCTTTTTATACTGTTTGATCAAAGAGGCTTCTTACCTCTGAGAGTTTCCCCGGACTTTTTCCCTTTACTAGCATCTGAGGAAGTGGCTTCTGGTTTTTGGCAACTTAATCACAGCGGCATGCTTCATGCTCTTAGGACCTGCACCAATCCTGCACATCAAAAGGTAACTTTTCCCTTCTATAGTTTTGGTCAAATAGCAGTAGGAATTATTTTTAAATTTTTTGTTATAATGTTGACATGCCTTAGCATTTTCAACCTTAATAAAAATTTGAATAATTGCTTTGATTTAGGTCTAGTTTTAATGGTTAGACTACCATTGGTTGAAGCAAATCAGAATGCAGAAAGTCTTCAGCAAATGAGGAAAATGCTTGTTTTCTCTTCGGGTTTCTATCTCATATTTATTGGTTCTTATTTTTAAAATACCATGTGTTGCTACCCAGCTTTGGCTGATAGTTCTTTGAGTACGTTTTTGCTTTTTCCTCCTGTCCCTCCTCGCTTCTTGAGACAGGAACTAAGTTGTTTTTGTTTCTTTTCATCCTTAGCATGTCATAGCTGCTTATGAAAGCTTGTGTGACATAGTTTATTTGCTAAAATAAAGTGAGTTCCCCAGGCCTTTTCACAAACTTCCAGGATAAAACATGGTATGGAAAAAGAGGGATTTCAGAATCTTTCAGTCTTGGGTTTGAACTTTAGCTTTGCCACTTACTGTTATTGTGAACTTGTGCAAATCCCTTAGCTTCTGAGAGCCTCAGTTTCCTTATCGAGAGCCCTGATCTATTGCAAGAGGAAGTGAGATTGTATATATTAAGTAGCTGGCATTGTGCTCAACCTGGTACAGAGGTTGGCTTTGCCTCTATGTTACCTATCCCTTCCCTTCTTTGGCATTATTCAGTGCGCTGAATTTCCAAGCCCAGTGACTGAATGAACTGTATTAGTATTGATACTTCAACCAATTTGGAAAGCATTTTGTGTGGGGAGAGACAAACTGGCTGCAAACGTGTGATCTGTGTGACCAAAGCGATTTTCGGGACGCATGCGATCAGCGATGCTATCGGATGGATGAACTGGGTTCCCCCACTCTCCACCTACATGAGGAGCTCAAGGGTGATCTCCCTGACTGGGATGGGCCAGAGGAGAAGGAGAAAGAGGCTGATCACATAGCCTGTGAAACCAGCTTCACTGGGTCCCCATCTTCCCTAGTGTGAAGTTTGTGCCTCTTAAATGCTGAGGGGTTCTTTTCTTCCAAAATTCTTTTGCAGTCAGCTGTGGCTGCTGGTGCTGATCTTAGTGGTCAATGGCGTGTCTGCTGGAATGAGTATAATCCCCACCTTCCCAGAGGTCCTCAGCTGCGCATAGTAAGTGACGCCTGTTTCTTGAAGAGATGCGATGTGGACAGCAGTGAGCATCATGGGCTTTTTTAATTTTTCAATTTTTTAGGATGTTAGAAATTTCCCCCAAACCATCATGTGTTTAAAGAATACAAATACTGCAATAGGGCTGGGGATTTAGCTCAGCGACAAAGCACCTGCCTGGCAAGCGCAAGGTCGTGAGTTCGGTTCCTGGTACCGGAGAAAAACCAAAAAAAAAAAAAATACTGCAATAGAAATCGTAACATAGTAGTACGCTCATGTAAATGTTAATATAGATTAATATTAATACACTAATGGTCAAAATAAACTGAAGATTGATGTTTTGCTTGGTGTGTGCCTTGGTGTATGTGTAGTTTTTAAATGCTAAAGCAAAGGGGAAGACCCTTGAGTTTGTCCCTCTTTCAAGGAGCAGATCCATGTGACACCACAGGGTGACCAGGCCTCTGTCACTTGGCCGTTATAGCTGTGTCTGGTCAGCTCAGCTGTTCTCTTAGGAGTAAGGAGCTGCCTCGGTGCCTTCTCAAGGCTGCCCAGTCCTCTTGACATTATCATCTTAATTTAAGGGGTGGATAATTATATACTTTATAGACATTTAAAATGTATCTTGGTTACTTTTCTCTTGTTGCTGAGACAAAATATCTGATGCCCAGAATTAAGTAGGGAAAGGTTTATTTAACTCATCTGTGGAGGTGTTGTTCCATACTCAGCTGGCTCCAAGGCAGGGTGGCACATAGCACAGGGCAACTGTTCATGTTGGCAGAAAACAGCAAAAGCAACAAGAACAAAATGGGGAGGAGTGAGAGAACAAGGCTCTTTCCCTTTCTTATATTGTATGCAGGCTACCAGCCCGAGGGTGGGTGTAGCACTCACACCCATAATCCCAGCATTGGACCATGAATCCATCCCACACTCAAGAAGCCTGCTCTGAGTCATGAGAGGACATCTAGACAAAAACCATAGCATTCTTCCCCTGCCCACCCAAAGATTCATGCAGATCCCTTTATGCAAAAGGCATTTTATGCCATCTCTAAGAGTTGTCAAAATTCCAACAGTTTCTGCAGTGCTGAAAAGTCCAAGTCCCAAGTCTCCTCTGAGATGCAAGGCAAACTCTTAGCTGTGAGCCCCTGTACAAATGAAGAGTTACACACTTCCAACATTCAGCAGCACAAGATAAACATTACCATTCCAAAAGCTACAAATGGATATACAAATCACTGGGACCAAAGCAAGTCCAATATCCAGCAGGGCAAATATTAAGTCCTGTAGTTCCATATAGAACATCTGAAGCAATCTGTGGTAAATTGTGAGCTCCAGAGGGCTTGTGTGTCTCCACCCCTACATCACTTCCAGTGGTAGAACTAGTAGCTCCCAGGGCTTCTTTCTTGTGCCTACTTTGCTCCCTCCTTGCAGTTTTCCTCAGACAATCCACATTCCTAGCTTCTCCAAACTTCTGGGGTCTTCACTGCACCTTTGGCTTCTCAATTACAGCTTCACACACTGGCCTCTCAGGGGTACACTGTCTGGCCTCCCAGGTCTTCTTCTGAAATCTAGATGGAAGCCTCTTTAACCTCAGAACCCTTGCATACTGCATCCACCTAAAACCAGTACCATGTGGATGATACCAGCATCTGCTGCCAGCTGGAGCAGTAGCCAGGCTTTCTTCTCCCTTCATTTTAGGGGTTGAATGCCTGGATTGCTGAGCACTCTGAACCTGTTTCTGAGGAACAAACTATGCCACCACCATTCTGGAATATAGCATGACCACCACCATTCTGGAACATGGAGCTCTGAGGCTTTCTTCTCAAAGCAAAGTCTTTCACTTTTGCAGTTTGGAGGCTGCAAAGGGTGGAGACTTGCTACTTCTTGTGATGTCCTGAGGCCATCTTTTCTATTCTCCTGTTCTTTCTCAGCAACCTAGATTTCCTCTGCTCTATCTTTGCAGTCCACAGCTTTATTGGAGCTTCATATCTAACCAAGCTCACAACATTTTTTTTTTGTTTGTTTTTTTCCAGTACCGGGACTCGAACTCATGACCTTGTGCTTGCCAGGCAGGCGCTGTACCGCTGAGCTAAATCCCCAGCCCCTGCTCACAACATTTTAAATCATTCTACTAGGCCCTTTGCTCTTGATTCTCAACATGAATCTGGCTAAAAGCCGCCAACAATAGCCATGCTCCTGCCCTAACATTAGACTGCCTTGGAATTTCTTCTGCCAGATTGTTTAGTCCATTACCCTTAATATTAGTCTCAGGCAAAATCTCTGGACATGAGCAAAATGCAGACAAACTTTGTGCCAAGCCATAACATACATCATCTAGAGTCTAACAGCCAATGCAGTCTTTCTTCCCAGCAGAAACCTTCCAAGCATGGTCTTTATCAGCAGGATTTCTGTCAGCCTTCTGGTTTTCTGAGCTCTGGTCAGAATCTCCCACACAGAACAGCCTAAGACGTTCCAGCTGTACTCTTTCAGGCGATATCTCCAAACCTTTCCAAACTCTTCCCACAAGCCATTCCCAAAGGCTCTTGAACCACATGGTCAGGTACAGTCAAACTAACAACCCCATTTCTCTGGTACCAAATTCTGTCTTGGTTGCTTTTCTCTCATTGCTCAAACAAAATATCTGATGCCAAGAATTAAGGAAGGAAAGGGTTTATTTAGCTCACAGTTTGTGAAAATTTCAGTCCATACTCATCTGACTCCAAGGCATAGTGGCACATAGCAGAGGGCAACAGTTCATGGTGGCAGAAAACAGCAAAAGCAACAAAAGCAAAAGGGGGAGGAGCATGAGAGCAAACCTGTTTCCCTCCCTTATATTATATGCAGGCTATCAGCCCCAGGGTGGGTGTAGCACTCACACCCAAATCCCAGCATTGGACCATGAATCATTCTTAAACCCTAGAAGCCCACACCCCTGACTGCATGAGGCTTTGAGGGAACATCTAGACCCAAACCATAATAATATGAATGGATCATAATGTTAATATATTTAATAGATTTAGTAAAAGTGCTTTTAGAAAAATTATTTTAGAATTCAGAAAGCATCGCTTCAAAATAGATTTGTTTCTTTGCTTTTTGTTTTGGAAGTTGTTTGTGTTTGTTTTCAAGTGCAGTGATCCAACCCAGGGCCTTCTGAACACTAAACACACACTCTACCATTGAGCTATACAACCCCAGGCCCCTGGGCGCACTTTGCTTCTTAAAAGTGGAGTGTCATACCACTGGTTTTGTCCAGATTTTCTTTGGTTTATCGTATCTATCATACAGTTTTTTCTTTCAGGTGGGTTTCCTTTTAATAATGGGTACTCTCATGTCTCTCTTTGCAGTGAAAATGGATTTGAAGAGGGATTAAGTACACTGGGACTTGTATCAGGTCTCACAAGTGCCATGTGGTCAGTTGGGTGAGTATTCACTGAATTTCATTCCTACTTGCAAGACAGGAAATGCTATCTCCATTTTACAGATGGAAGGGCCTGCTAGGATGCTACCTATGGCCAATAAATACATGAAAAACTGTTCATCACCTCTGGCCATCAGAAAAATGCAAAGTAAAACCACACTAAAATGCCATCTTACTCCAGAGAGAATGGCTACCATCAAGAAATCAAATAATAACACATGCTGGTGTTTTAGGTACTGTCTTGTTTCTGAGACTCAATACCTGACACCCACAATTTGGAGAACGAAGGGTTTACTTTTGCTCACAGTTTGTAAAGCTTTCAGTTTATAGTGGGTTGGCTCTGAGGCAGGGTGACATGGTAGAGGAGGGTTGCTTATGACACGGCAGCAGGAAGCAAAGAGAGATCAATGAAGAAGAGGAATAGACCATCAGGTCACGCATCCAGGATCACCCCCTCTCACCAGGCTTCACCTCCAACATCACATTTAGCTATGAGCTCATGTGTGCACTGATCCACTGCTGAGTATCACACTAGCATGAGCCAATCACTTCCCAAAGCCCCATCTGTGAGTGCCTGAGGCACCTGGTGAAGCTTCAGGAGATAAAGGGACCCTTCTGTGTGGTTGGTGGGACTGTAAACTGGTACAACCACCATGAAAATCAATACAGAGATTTCTCAAAAAGTTAAAAATAGATAACTCTATTTGACCCAGCTATTTCCCTTTTAGATGTCTTCCTGAAAGAATTAAAGTCATTATATTACATGTATACATGTGTTTACAGCAGCACAATTCGTAATAGCTACATCTTGGAAGCAGCCTAGAGGTCCTTCAAAGATGAATGGATAAAGAATATGTGATACTTGTGTACAATGGAATACTACTTTGCCATAAAGAAGGATAAACTTGAGTCATTTGTGGGAAAATAGGTGCACCTTGAGATGATAATGTTAAGTGGAATAAATCAGACACATAACTTTCTGTATCACATGGTTTCTCATATATGAGGAACACATAATGTAAATACAGAGCAAAATAAAAGATTGATAATAAAAAGCAGGAAGACATGTACCCACTCCCCACAAGGAAAATGGTCTATATGTACTGGAATATGTACTAATAAAAAATAAAAACTGGAAAAAAATAATCAAAGCAAAAAAAAAGTTATATGAGATTCTCAAAGATAGACCAGAGTGAGAATTCTAATGCACACCTTCTGACTCCTGGATGTAGTTATAGCAGCCAATTTAATACCTAAGCAAGCTGGGCATGGTTGTGCACCCCTATAATCCCAGCACTTGGGAGGCTGAGGCAGGAGGATTGCTGTAAGTTTGAGGCCAGCCTAGGCTACAGAGTGAGTTTAAGGCCAGTCAGAATTGCACAGCGAGACCTTGTCTCAAAAAACTAAAAAAAAATACCCTAAGCAAAATGGTTTCAAACACATTGTCTTATTTATGTTACTTGTAAGTTCCTTTAAAAAAGTATGTCTCAGATTTCAAATTTCTTCACATATTCATTCATTTCTACCTTCTACTGTACCAGGAGTGTAAACATATGTGAGCAATTCACATGTATTCAATAGAGAATCCACATGTATTCAATTGAGTCCTATTATGTGCAAATACTGAGAATATAATGCTATAAAGTTTTTAACGTTTGTCATCTTTTTATTTCTTTGTAAGCCACCAACTTTTCAGATGCAGTTCTTCTTGAAAATTGTTTAAAAGTTTTGAACATTATCAAGTAGACTTTTCCCCTTCTTTTATTTTTGTTTCTTTCCTTTTTGTAGCGTTAGGGATTGAACCGAGAGCCTCACACATGGTAGGCAAGCACTCTACCACTGAGCTACACCCTCAGTCCTAGAATTATTTTCTGAGAACTATTGCTACGCTGGGAATTGACTTTTTAATTCAGTATCTATAGTAACAATTTAAGGCAGACCTGTGAGTATGGGATCATGTGACTCTGATTCAGTAATTATTTTCTCCACTGTTTAATAGTCACATTTCTCTCCACTGCTAGAGCTTTTATAGGACCAATGCTCGGTGGATTTCTGTATGAGAAACTTGGTTTCGAGTGGGCGGCTGCTATACAAGGCTTGTGGCCTCTGATTAGTGTGAGTAACGTTGATTTTCCCCCCCATTTTCCTTAATTTTGGAGAAACTTAACTGGGAGGATTAACACTAACTCGTACCTTTCATTGCATCCAAGGGATTAGCGATGGGATTGTTTTACCTCCTGGAAGACTCCAGAAGAAGGTATGCCCAGCTTTTGGCCTCTTTTTTCCCTTTCCAGGTTATCTTCTGGAAATGGAAAAGAATGCTACTTTGCATGCATTCTCCCACTTAGCAGAGTTCTGGGCTCCAGAGGCTCCTTACTTTGTAGACACTTTTTAAGAAGCTAACTTGTTAGAGATGGAGGCACGGGGTGTTTTTTAAAGACTAGAAATACCAAGGTTCTGCCCTCCCCCTTGCAGATCTAAACCTCAAAGCACCATGGGTACAGAGGAGGAGCAAGCTGCTCTCTTGCCAGGTGAAATTTAGCCTGATGAACTCTGACTGATACAAGACGGGAAGCCGGATGCTTCTGGCCCTGCACGTCACTGCTGGAAGGATTTTCTTAGCTTTGCACACAGAACTCCATGGACACCACACCCACATGCTGGAAGCGGCAACATAATTTTGGGTGATTGCGTGGCAGATTGCACTCAGTATCGCCCTAAGAAGCTGGCCTGCTGAACCAGTCTGATTTGCAACACGGGAAAGATAGTGGAAAAGTGGTAAAGTGTGTGGGTTTTTTGGTTTGGTTTTGGAGTTTGTTTTTTGAGGCAGAGTCTTGCTTTGTAATTCAGGCTGGCCTGAAACCCCTGGTGATCCTCCTGCGTCAGCCTCCCAAGTGCCACCATGTCTGGCAAAGTTTGTTTTTAAGGACGAAGCTTTTCTTGAGGATGTTTCTGTTTTTTCTTTTAGGATGTTTTTGATTTAGGCTTCTTGTTACCTCTGTTTACTTTTTATTGTAAGTTCACTGATTTTATGAATATACCTTTCCTAGTCACAAGGAAAAATAAATTGATGTTATACACCAATGACGTAATGATGACTCCGGGTATGTAATCACCTGAAATCTGCTTTGAAAGCTTTGCTTTCTCTTGTGTTCTGAGATTTTTGTCTTTGTTCAAAGGCATAATTCCTTCAGTTTTCCTAAAAAATTTGTATGTGTTAAAGGATAAGAAATAAAAATACAAGTACCATTTGTGTGATAGATTTTCAGTTATGTTCTGGGTTTACAAACTTTGCTAGATTTAACATTATTCATTTCCTGCAATGCCTGCCTTTTTGGGTTCTACCATCACCGTGGGTGTGTGCTGCTTTTCTGCTCCTGGCAGATGCCTTCTGTCCCAGAGCAGGTCCGTACCCCATTCCTGCCCCAGCCATGTCTGTCTTTTTTCTAAGCTCCATGCAGCTTCGTGTGAAGTCCATGCTGCTATTTGAGTGAGAGAGTGTCAGCTCCTACATCTCCTCCTTTTCGCGGTGGTATAGCCTATTTATCTTTTTATTTTTTTAAGAATGAAAGGTTTTATCCATTCATTCAGAACTACCTTTTGGATGTGTTTTGTGGACTGACACTGTGCTGTGTGTTTGGGATTTGGCTGTGATCACAATAAGCATCGTCTCTACCCTCTGTACTTTATACCAATGGAAAGCACAAACAAAGAAGTCCCATAATCTTGAGTTATTTTGCCAAAATGCAGCTGGCTGGTGTTGATGTGATATGGGGTCTACTGTAGGCAAGGCCTGTCCATGCTGGGGAGACTCTAGGTTCGACATCTGGAGAATGAAAACGAGATCACTATTCATTCATTCTAAGGAGAGCAGAGTCCACAGATTGTGCAAAAGGCTTAATGAAGTCAAAGATGAGACTGTTCCACTGACTTGAGTCTAGGAAAGAGAAGGTTGAGAAAGTGGAAAATAGCCCCTCTGTGTGTGTGTGTGTGTGTGTGTGTGTGTGTGTGTGTGTGTGTGTGTTCGAACCTAGGACCTTCACATTGGGCTACCTCCCTTTTCCTTTTATTTTTTATTTGGGACAGGTTCTCACTGGATCATTAAATTTCCCAGACTTGGCTCAAACTTGTGATCTTGCTGCCTCAGCCTCCCAGAATGCAATGCTGGGATTAGGTGTGCACCACCACATCCATCCAGTAGCCAGCTTTTAAGTGGGGTTCCAGTGTTTACTTCACATTTGTGGACATGCATTACATGTGAATAGTTCATGGGATATTGTTAGCCTGGATGGTGATAGAGGGAGAACTTTGGAAGATCTGAGAGAGACAGTAATGGTTTGGACCAGGGAGGTGGCCATAGAGAGAGAAGAGAATGTCTGGGGAAGTGGAGCCTATGGGATCGCTGAGGAGGAGAGAGGAGAGAGCAGTCTAGGTTGGCTTGGCCTTGACTTGAGGGTATGGGTAGATGGCGATGCCATGTAGCAAGATGGGAAGAGTAGGAAAAGAGAACTTGGCAACTACTGAAGACACAACACTAACACCAAATGAAAAGCAGCTGTTTTGTGCTCAGACGGAGCCTCTTATGCTTCACTGCTACAGAAATCGTCACGTATGACACATTCATACCGAACTGGGCTTCTCGAGGCGGCAAACTGTGTTTATTCACCCTTAACATCCTTCCGATGCACGGCTCAGTTCCTGGAGCAGACGCGCTGAGGGGAGAGGTGGGACATGCTCATGTGTGGAATGAGCCAAGCTTCTGTGTTTGGAACGTAGTAATTGTGAGGCTCCTACAAGACAAATGAAAATTGTTCACCATCAAGATCATACTGCCAACATGAGCAGATATGAATTCATACTTACGGGTGTTAGTGATGTGCAGGGCATTTTCAGTGAGTGAGCGAGGGCACTGTCCCTGCAGATGACAAGTGAGAGATTGCTTGTAATCACTCCCGCCGGGAGATAGCTAATACAAATATACTCTTGCACATAGGAGGATGGATGTAGGAGTCCATAGAGAGCGGATGCATGTCTATCTCAGGTCCTAGTTCCTGTATCATGCTTAGGAATCTGCTCATTGGATAAACGTGTCACTGATTTGAAAAGAATGTAGATATATTGAAGAATACAGCAAGCAAGAGTATGAGTATTTAAGTAGGAGAATAACAAGACCAAAAAGGTATAAAAAAGTACAGTTGGAATAAGTGTCAGGGAACCCAAATTATTTTCAGAAGTTCAGGATTTTCTGCTTTCATTGCATTTGTTTGTTGGGAAAGAGATCAAAATGATCAAGGGAGTCAGGTATTATACTCAGAAACTTCTATAGCTTCATGTAGTGAATGCCTATTGATTGTCTCTGATAGCCTTGCCTTCCCCTTCTTTCTTGTGTTGTTTTTTGCAGACCAGGCCTCTTGATGTAGTCCAGGTTGGCCTTAAACTCGAGCCTTCTGCCTCAGCCTCTCGTGTGCTGGGATGACAGGTTTGTGCCACCACACCCAGTCCTTCTGCCTTTTTTCTTCAAGGGAATTGATTACTTGTATTGTGTTTGTGTCATTCCTCTTGGCTCCAAGGTCTCTGGAATATTGGCCAATCACAGACCAGACCCATGGGGCTCACATGAACGCAAGGCTGAGCACGAATGTGAAACAAGGCCAGGGAGAATCCTCCTTAGGACTTTTGATCTAACAGTTGGACAAGAAGGACTCTTTGTTCTCATCAGAGACAAAAAGATCAATTAAATCTAGAGACCCCAGAAGTTATCTTCACCTCAGTTGGGGAAATCCCACTTCCAAGAATGACAACAAAGGCGAGCCAAGCAAGAGAGCTCCGAAAGTGATTAGGTTCCTGGACCCAGCCAGGAGAAACCAGAATCTCACTAGACTGCCCGATTCTGTGCGCCAAGGAGTGGTCGTCTTTTGGTTTACTCACATTGTTTTGAGTTGGATGACCATCGCTTACGCACCTCATTTTTGTTACCCTTTCTAATTCTGCATAGAAATTGCACAAAACAGTGAAACGCAAAGACATTTTGTGCTTTTATAAGCCTGTCACCACACTTGGGTCAGTTCTGGGTGTAACAAACACAGAAACAAACAAAGAAGCAAACTAAAAACAGAAGGGCCCACAGATGCTCGTAGAGGATGGAGCATGGCTTCGGTCATGCAGAGAGGAGGAGAGGAAGGGGGCCACAGTGCATTTAAAGAAAGCCTGCGAGGGGCTGGGGATTTAGCTCAGCGGCAAAAGCGCCTGCCTGGCAAGCGCAAGGTCGTGAGTTCGGCTCCCGGTACCAGAGAAAAACCAAAAAAAAAAACCAAAAAAAAAAAAAAAAAAGAAAGCCTGCGTGGGGCTTAGAAATGGCAAAGCCCTGTGACACTCTTTATGAAACAACCACGATTAATAAAGATAGATCTCAAGTTACAATGTTTCTGACTCACAGAAATGTATGTAGAATTGCATAACAATTACCCGTATACTCTTGGCCCAGCTTTTGCAAAAACAATTTAGGAATAATGCAAAAGCCTTTTGTGCTCTTTCCTTACTGCATTTTCCTCCTTTCCCTGCCCTGGTCCCCTGGAGGAAATCACTGTTTTAAGATTTTCATAGATCATTCCACGACTTCCTGGTAGTTCCCTATGTCTGTTCATATCCCTGTTTAGTACAATTACTGCATCTTTTTGATGTTTGTATATGGTGTAAATATTTTGCCTATTTCATTTTATATCCAACATAGTGAATTTATCCATGTGACTAAGTGACACCGTTTCATCCACTGTCACTGTTCTGTTGTTTTCTTTTCTTTCTTTTTTTTTTTTTTTTTTCTGGTATCAGGAATCGAACTCACTACCTTGCGCTTGCCAGGCAGGCGCTATGCCGCTGAGCTAAATCCCCAGCCCCCATTGTCACTGTTCTGTAGTGTACAATGACGCGGACGTACCCGTTATTAAGCTGTCGTCTCTCAGCTCCAAACCCACCTTTCTGTATTCTTTGTGGTGCTTTGATGCCACCAAGGCAAATGTATTTTTCTAATTCCCGTTGGATCACTACATTCCGCCACTAGAGGGTGCTAGCGGAGGACCAAAGATTAGAGGGGGTCTAATCCTGTTCATTCACTTGTCATTGCCTTCCCATGAGCAGTCGTCATTACACTTGGTGACAGCACCTTACTTCAGTAGCAGTTTTTATTTCCCAGTTTTTCCCTACACTCAGAACCAGCATCCCTGCGGTTCTCCCAAGCTGACAAGCCCAGGCGGTGCCTCCTCAGGCAGCCCTCAAGGAGCTGACTCGTCACCAGCTGAGAGCGCCTCCTGCCCTGGCTCCCAGCCTCTCCGTCACAGCGAGGGTCCCCCGGCACCCTTTCTGATGCCCTTTGCTCTTGCTCACTTAGGAAAGTTGCTTCTGTAATTATTATCTCGGGGTTACTGAGTGCTCCTCACTTGTCCTTCACTCGTCAAATACTTGCTTCGCCAAATCTATGTATTAACTTTCCTTAATGTTCGTGATTCTGCTTTCCTGGGAGCATCTTGCCTGGTACAATGAGTAAAACTTTAGTCCTGGGGCTCAGGGAATAGCATCCTCCCACTGCGGCACTTTTGGGCACACTGAGGAGTTTGATCTAAACGAAATGAACGGCCTTAAAAGCATGTTCAGCATGTTCAGCATGGGCCTTGTAAGACCGCATCAGTCCTCCCCATCCAAGTGCAGGGAGAGGCTCCTTCAGGTGCATGAAGTCCAGACTGCAAAAGGCAATTCTATTGCCTTCCGCCCTGAAATCTCGTGACTGTCATCTCAGAAAAGAAAACTGAAGAATATAACCATGTCTGAATGGACATCAGCTATAATGTCCATCCCTTAAACTCACTCAGATTCCAAGCATTGGGATCCAGGGCACACCAGTATAAAGAGGTCAGGAAGGATAAGAAATAGAAAAAAATCCTATGGAAATATAAAAAAAGTAAACAAATACAAAGTCCAAACAGAAAGAGGAAAATCTGATGATTGTAGGGGAGGAAATTGCATCAGAACAGAATAGTGGCAGCTGTGCCAAACTCTGCCAAGATGTCAAGTGACACAGAGCAAGAACTGATGGTCAGATTCAGTAATGTGGAAATCAGTGGCGACTTTGACACAGCAGTGAAGTCGTGGGGTAAAACCCTGCTGGGAAGAAAGGAACTGAGACAGGGACTGCATACCACCCTGTGAAGGGCTTTTGTTATAAAGTGGAACCGTGAAATCAGACAGGAGCCAATAGA